GTGGGGGGGGGGTGATGCCTGGAAGCCGGAGATGATGTCGACTTTACAATCATGGCGCAGAATGCAGACCTGCAAGTACGTACATACGTACATACATACAAATGTATACACCCTTTATTCACGACGCGGCTTGTCATACGCATATAAAGCGATTTGCTATCGTACATGCGGGGCACTCCTCTTTTTGCTCAAATTCGAAGTATTGGAATTTGCGAATGCATGCATCGCATGCTATGTATCGCGAATACCGGTAACTGGCATCAGCAACCGTTAACAACCGTATTAAACCGGTTTGCTGACTTTGGACTTTACGACCCATGGGCCATGTCCCTTTAAAATAGTGAAAATCACAAAAGGGTTGTCAGGAATGCACAGCACAGACAAGGGATGCGTTTAACTAGCGCGCGACTCACCGGAGGTACGACAAACCGTGACGTGGAAACGCTGAAAGCTGACGGCGAGATGCCGACGGCAAAGCGCCCGACGACGAGGCGGCCGACTTCGAGGCGGCCGACGGCGAGGCGGCCGACGGCGAGGCGGCCGACGGCGAGGCGGCCGACGGCGAGGCGGCCGACCGCAAGACGGCCGACGGCGAGGCGGCCGACGGCGAGGCGGCCGACGGCGAGGCGGCCGACGGCGAGGCGGCCGACGGCGAGGCGGCCGACGGCGAGGCGGCCGACGGCAAAGCGGCCGACGGCGAGGCGGCCGACGGCAAAGCGGCCGACGGCGAGGCGGCCGACCTAGTTAAACCCTACGGATATGTGTTGTCCTGTTGGAAGTCCTCGCCCAGGCTCGCTCAGACCGGCGGGGGGATCGGGCGGGAGGTGGGCGGGGAAATACACACACACACACGCTGTTAATGAGCTAGCAGGGGACGCAACGAGCACAGACTTTGCACGGCAAAACAACATGGGCAGTTGCGCACAAAATGCAGAAACATACTAATAAGCACACAGGCGGATCGCGGGCAGTTTCGAATATTCCATCACAATTAAAACGGTAGCATCCCTACACATACCCACACATACGTATACATGCGTGCGCACACACACACACGCACACACACACGCACACACACACACACACACACACGCACACACACACACGCACACACACACACGCACACACACACACACGCACACACACACACACACACACACGCACACACACAGACTCTTACACACAACTACACACACACGCGCGCGAGAGAGAGCACATTCTCACCCACATGTGAACACCTACATACATACAAACATACATACATACAATCGCGCACAAATACAAGCCACTGAACACCGCAACAATAACCACCGGCCGGCGTTGCAGCTTCTATCTGTGTTTGCTGACCTTATCTTTGCAGTTTGCTGCCTTTGTGCTTTTGCTGTCGTTGTCGTTGTTGCTGCTTGCCGGCACGACAGGAGAAAAACACCGCGCCACAAAACGCCCACAGCAAGAAACGTTGCTCTGAACGTATGTACGACATCACTACATCACGAACGGACACAAAGTGGCACCCACGCAGTGAACATACGGGAAAAGACCTTCATGCCATACTCCCTACATGCCGTACCTTGCCAAGGTACAACAATTTCATACCGAAATCCCCCTCCGTCACCAACTCGTCTATCCATTTGCAACACGTCTTCACCCAGAGAATCCAAGAACCTGCCCAGCACACCCACCTGGCGATTGTGACGTCAGCTCGGCCGCTAGTGGAGGATGATGACGAAGGCAGTGCGAGGCAGCGGCTGATGCACGCGAGGGGCCCTTGGGGTCCAGTTCTACACACTCGCTGGTGCCAGATCCATTCGATCACACCTGCAAAAGGAGCATAACAGTTGCCTTACTATAAAAGTCGAAATGAGCAGCCGTCTCTGTCGCGAGGAAGGTCAAGGACATCGGACGAAGTGGTAATGTCTCGCCTAACGACGTGTACTTTTCTGCCAAACTGTCTAGCTTTCAGCCTTCGTAGCCTCCTTACACAGCGTAAGCATAATTGTCGGGATTACGCTCAAACGCCGCATACGCCCGTATTCTTGCAGCAGAGCGTTGCACAAACGTCGAAAGCCCGTCGACAAAGCCACCTTGATGCTTCAAATATCCATACATGAGCACGAGAGACAAGCAACTCACCTCGAAAAAATTGAGTCGCACGTTGCCCTCAGCAGACGAGTTAGGCATGTCGATGTCCGTGAAGCGGCGACGCTGTGCCTGGAGCAACGTCAGCAGGGGATAAATAAATAAATGATTGAGCCAGCCGCGTCATAAATTAGAGCAATGGAACTGAAGTGCGGCGGCTACAGCGTGAAGGTTTTGCAATGAACTGTACCTTGCAAACGTTTGCAGGGTCCAAAGCAGCTTCTCGGAACTCCACGCAGCTGTTCATATGTTCTAACTCATTTTCTGGTGATATGTAGGAAGCTAGCAGCTTTTACGAACGCAACAGAGGTGGAACAGGCCAAAATACGTTGGGTAAAAGCCAGCGATTATATATCGGAAGTTGTGCACATTTGCTAAAGGAGTTGGAAGTGCTATGGGAGGTGCCTTTTGTCAGAGGCCAGCTAAGTTGTACGGCGTCCGGTAAAAGGTGCGCAACAGCTGCAAATCCAGGTGTGTTGGTAAGGTGCAGATCGGCGAACTCTTTTTGTCGACAGTTAGCCTATTTATATTTATATTATAGCTGCATGTCACTGCATTATCACGTCCACCCCCGTTCCTCTGCACCTGGTTACGTCCCCGGAAGCAATATCCCTCAGTGCAAGCCCTTGCAGACAACATGTCAAGTCATCATGAAGGCCGCTGCTTCATTTTTGCTTATGCGCAAAGCGGGCGATTGACGTATTCTGCTCATGGCGGAAGTGCCACGAGCTACTGATACAGCGTTATGGATCTTGAAGCTCTTCTTGAGTGTCTAAGATGCTTTGAGTCATGCTTGCTCACAGGAGGAACTGCGGCCCGAACAAGGGCGCCACCGAACTACCATCATGGAGGGCTTCCTTTGACAAGGCTAAGCCCTATACACACCTTACGGGTTCAAATCTTCCGTAAAACGGAGGCCTTAGGTGCTCCGAGGAAAAAGCGACATACCGAAGGTCATCGTCAACCACCTACACAATGACAAGGATGCTAAGGAGCCTGGCGCCCTCACCCTCGCTGTCACCAGCACCAGCACCGTCATCGTCACCCAGCACTGCTGTGAGCAGCGAGATCGTGCCCCGCCCAGCTCCCTACCACCCTATATCCATCCCGTGCACCCTCGCCCGTTAGCCCAACCCGCCACATTTCCGTTCCCTATCACTTGTTGCCATCCATCCCTTGCTCCAACAAGTTCAAGATCAGCTCCATCACTCTGCTTTCATCCCAACACCAAGTGACAATATGTAATCAGCAGCTGCCTTCATGGTGGCGACCGAGCTGCGGTAGCCGGATAGTGGTCCACAGGGTGGCTGCAAGACAGACGGTCCGACACATCCAAGTGCAAGAGAGTGTATGTATGTGCGTGTGTGTGTGGTCAAGCTTGCTCATTTTTTTGCTGTTAAATGTTCGACACGACTTGACTGATGGCTTGTTATGATGTCCTGAGTCCCAGGGGTCCCAGGTCGTTCACTCCCTTCCAAGTGCCAACTTCTCAGTGGATCGCTCAGGTTCCACACCCATCACCGGGGAATTTACAAGATCGACGGCGGCTGAACTCCATTCCTGTTCAGCTCACAAGTCAACTTTATCCCAGGTCACCACCGTCCATCGACTAGGGGCACTTTTACCTTCCACCATCGGAAGGATTTTCAACCCTCAGCGGTCGTGACAGTCTTTACAAAGTCAAACACAGACTTCAAGTCCGGTGCGCGGCCCTACGCGCCGCAATAAAGGCTGCAAATCGCGTCTTTTGGTCGAATTTTGGTCATTAGGGACCCGCAGTCTGCCGTACGCGCATGTTTTGTCGATGCCACAGTCGTATGACGCGACACAGGGCTTTAAGCCGAATTTCGGCTGCGGGTACTGTGGTACGGACCCGCAGGACCCGCCTTATTTGCCGACCTCTGCATTAAGCCAAATTATGTCCTATAGCCTTCATGGCTTGCTGTACAGTTGCATTCGGGGTGCCGGATAGGACAGGGCGAGGCGAAACCGGGGCTGCCAAGGGCCTTACACTACTGCAGAGTACTAATTGCTGCTCTCGGAGCGCCAGGGCGCGTGTGCGCCGAAGCGCGGTCTAGCGCCACACGGCGCGGTCTGAGCGCACGCAGCGCTGTCCAGCGCGGCCACACCGGCACGGCCGAAAGAACGGGGACGCACAGCACTAGACAACTAAACGCAGCATTAATAACTGCGTCCACTGGTCACCCGCCCCGAGGGCAAACCTGAAGCGTCAGCGACGCACGAACCGCACCCTGGCCAGCAGGGCTGGCCAGGCGACATTCCTAGCGCGCAACGATACTCTATAGGCACTTATTTGCCGTGCGGTAATCGCTGTACAGCTGTGCGTCCGGCGCTCCGAGGGGACTGCCTAATCATCGGTCTCCAACTGGGCCGAGCCTGCCGCTTATAAACGAGGGACACTGAGGGCGGGGGGGGGGGGAAGTGAGAGCAACAATAATAATCAGCTCCAATAGTGTAGGCAGAATGCCGGAACTATGGAGCTGTCAGCTGAAATAGTAAATTCGAATTCTCAGCAAGCCATACGGCTGCCGTACATAACCTAGCTTAGAGGCTATACTCGCTTTTGCTCCTGCCGCATCTAAGCTACAAATGTTGTCACCTAGGGCCTTATTTGCCGATACCTCATCTAATCTAAATAAATATTACGTTCCAAACAACGTCTACATGTACCGGATGGCCACAAATATCCCGCCATTGACGGCATAGTGACGGCGTATGTGCTGTGGCAGTTTCACATTCATCTGGGTAGGAGGATGCGAAGGATGCCGTGGAACGTGCATGAACATTGCTGCCTGTAAAGCCTGTTGGTTTTAAAAAATGGCATCTGTTTCCACCCGCTTTGGGTTTGGTTGGATCCTAGCACCACCACGTGGGGATAGGGGGGGATAGGGGGCCCGTGGGGGGTTTAGGCTGCTCTGCACTGGCTCCTCTTTGCCCCGCATTCTATCTGCAAGGCCTAATGCACGCTAGCTTTATGATTGGGACGAAGCTTTCCATCACGGTCACAGCCGAACGGATGTCGGTACGATAATGCAGCCGTACGATGCAAGCTGTTACTGCATGAAGGATGCAGCTCAATTCGTAGCGCATTCGTCGTGTTTAAGAAAAGCGTGCTCGTGGGCACTTATAGGAACCTGAGCTTCGCGTTTTCAACCACGAAATTTATGTCACATTGTGACAAAAGTGTTGTCAACTCGAATGGACCTAGTCGAGCTGTGATATCGTTATTTGATTAATCAAATGAAAGGCTCCGTACCTCATTCGTGTCACTGCCAGGTAGGCCCAGCTGTGCACCACATCTTTCAATCTTGGCCCGACAAAGCCATCAACATTGTTCCCCACTTCGCCGCTCATGCGCTGGATGCAGGCGAGCCGAAGCAGCAGCTTTCGTCGCGCAGCGCGCGGTCCCTTTTTGTGGGTGTCGGTGCAGCATTACCTGCCGGGTCGCTCTAGCTATCACTTCTCGGTCGCCGAGGCGCCCTGCCGATGGCGCTTAGTCCCACCTGCTTCTGCTACAGGACGAGGGAAAGAAGCCAGCGATCCACCTTATGAGGATAGCACACGTGGAGGTGCAGGTGCGTGGCGCATGGGCCTTTGGCATCACACGGGATCACCGCGCGGTTGCCCCCTACGGCTACTTGCTTCCTTCTAATGGATCCACGATTCTAACCAACTTGTAGACTATTAGTTATGCGGCGGTATGGGTGTTTGGGCCCCAAGGCTCAAAGGCTCGGTAGGATGTTGCTCAGCACAAAATTCAATTTCCTAATGCGCATGGCACGACGGCCGTTAGCGACATACGCCATGGCCGTGACGAAGCCATCCGACCACGCGTGGTACGCACCCAACGTCTAAGCCTAGTCCCCACGCGAATACTTGCCACGCCTTCCCGGGATGCCCACCCACATGGCCACACAGACCACGTTGACCGCGGAACTGGAGGCGGCGGGGCCAGCCTGACCGCCCCCGCCTACTCACCTTGGTCCGCCTCGCCGTCGCCTGCTCCCTGGATTACGGGCCGGCAATGGCTGGGGCGGGCGGCCTGCTGCGCTGCTGCGGCGGCTGTAGCCCTGAGCTTGGCCTTGGGCGCCGACAGTGGAGTCGCTGCTGCCGCTACTGCCGCCGCCACCTCGCAATCGGGGGTCCCCGTCCGGCTTCTGAAAGCTGCGCGCCTTAACCAGGACAACGATGGCGTTGTGATCGCTGCTACCTCCGAAACCATCGACGTGAGGTTGACTTCGGAGCATCAGTTGCTTCAGCTGCAGCAGCATCCGCCGGCGATCCTCGTGTCCCCTGGGCTGATGCTGCTGGTCCAGCCGACGACACAGCCGGGGGCCAGCGGCGTCACCGCCGACGGCGGCAGCATGCCGTACGGCACTGTTACACAGCGGCCGGTGCCCACGGCGGCGGCAAATCGGTTTCTTCAGCCCGCTGCTGGCGTCGCCTCCACCACCTCAACCGTGGACGGTGACGGTGACGGCATCCTCCCGTACGGCTCCACATCTCCATCTCCTGGCCTCCGCTTCACACTCGACACCGCATTACGACCCGGCGGCGCCGTCGACGTCGACGTCGACGCCTCAGAGCCGACCGGTAGCAGCTTCATCGCGGGCACCGTAGCGGAGGCGGCAGCCGCCCGCCACCACGGCGGCGGCGAGCGCATCGCGGGAGTACCGTACCACGGCAGTAGCACCACCCGCAGTAGCGGCATCCCGGATGTCGCCAGTGAGACGGAGGATCGGTTGCTGGAGGTGGCTCGGCAGGTGGAGGCCCGCGTGGAGGGGGTTCTGGGGGCGCTGGCGGGGGGGGTACCGCAGCTGCTGGCTGGTGGTGGAGGTGGAGGTGGAGCTGCAGGCCAGGACGCGGCCCAGGTGGGTTGGGGGCATGACGACCCTTTGAAGGGGGGAAAGGGGGAGGGGGGACCTACCTGGGAACTACGTGATGCTGTCGTACGATACGTGTGGAGAGGTGCGCGGAGGCAGTTGGGTATGGTTGGTTGGTTGGTTGCTGGTCGATAGAACCACCATGTCAACGGTCCGTGCCGTACCACGATGACGCCATGGGTCGGACCCGGCTCTCTGACCGCACGAACCGGATGAATGTGGTTCCGGAGCCGCCACACGGGTGCCCATGTCTGGCTGGTTAAGAAGGAGGTGGCCCAGGCTATACTCGGTCTCCCATCTCCCCGTGCCTGCACCTTGCACCTTGCACCTTGCTCACCCCTCCCCCCCTCACCCCCTTGTCAGGGCGCCGCTACCTCAGCTGCGCACTCCTTGGTCCGGGAGGTGTGGGAGGTCGCGGATAACTACTACCTGGACGCGCGGGCAACGGGGTTCGACCGGCAGCGATGGGCCGAGCTGCGGGATGAGGCACTCGCGGTGCCGTACCGTGATACGGCAGCGGGGTACAGGTACGGCACAATGCTACTGCTGGTGCTGCTGATCAGCGCACAGGCCGTGCTCCTGTTGCGTATTGCGCCGTAATGCCCTAGTAGTGCACCTGTTGTTGCTATACAGTTATGGTGGTTAATGTCGTTGATGATGTTCGTGAAGTTGCGGTTTGCCACAAAAGCTGTGTTTGGTGTGCAGGGCTGTTCGCGACATGCTGGCGCGGGGGCTCTCAGACCCCTACTGCCGATTCATAGGGCCCTCAGAGCTGGAGGCTATGAAAAAGTACGACGTTAGCGGTGTGGGACTCAACTTGGGTACGGCAGCCGAGTACGTCATTAAAACGGTGGGTGGTTCGGTTGGGGGGGGACGGGTGAGATGCTCTTGGACGAACGGAAGGTGAATAGCCGGGTAGGTGGCCACACCGCACCGCACCTACGTAACCGTACATAGGGAGGGGGTTTAACACCACACACACACACATACATACATACATATTGGTTTGGCACCACTGGTAAGGCGCGACCATTGCCCCCGGGAGATCCCGGGATCGATACCCGTTAGGGTCAAAGTCCTTCCGATGGTGGAAGGCATTGCGCCCCTAGTTGATGGACGGTGGTGACCTGGGATAAAGTTAACCTGCGAGCCGACCAGGAACGGAGTTGGGCCGCTGTCGACCCGGCAGATTCCGTTGGATGCTGGTGGTGGGTGCGGAACCTGAGCGATCCACTGAGAAGTTGACTAGGGTGACTGGATGAGGGTGCCCCGAAATACCGGGGAAGGCAGGGTTTCGCAGGGTAGCTGCCACGGGCGAAGATACACCCCCCTGTTTCACACATCATACATACACACGCGCGCGCGGGGCGAGCGAGCGAGCAGGCAGACAGGCAGGCATGGGTGTGTATGTATAGGCTGGTCAACAAGCTATTTCTCTTTGTTACCGCTGGAGGGGGGCCCCCACCCCTCCACCCAGGGGGATGGTAAGGTCCAGAGCTAGAGCGCAAAGCTAGGTCGGCCCGCCTAAACCAGTTTTATCTTTGTTGTCTATCCTGATATATATGATTTTAAAATTGTATTTAAATTTGTATGTTACACTTATGTTATGCTTAAATAAGTTTGTAAAGAGTTCATCAGTTCGCGGGTCTCAGCGCGGGTGGGGCGATCCGCAATGAATGCATGTGTGCTCTTGCTCTTGCTCTTGCATGCGTGCGAGCCATAGCGAGGTGGCCGCCCGGGGGGCAGGGGCAGGGGCTGACAGCACACAGGCGGCCCCAGGGCCAGTGTCAGTGTCAGTGTCAGCTTTTGGGCACGATATCCGCCCCTCCCGTATCATAACTCTCTCCCCCCATCCCCCTCCTCCTCCTCCTAAACCGGCACAGGGTAATGCGCTGCCTTTGTCTAGAGACCCCACTGCGGCGGGCGAAGGGGGCGAGGGGGGGGAGGGCGTCTTCGTGGTGGGAGTCAGCAAGGGCAGCGTCGCCGACCTGGCGGGTGTACGGCAGGGGGACGAGCTGCTCGAGATCCAGGTGCGGGTGTCCGCGCTGCGCTTTGCGGTGGGTAGGAGTTAGTTGGTTAGTTAGTTAGGAGTTCGGTGGGTAGGTGGTTTAACGATTGCGGTTCTCGGAGAGCTGCACACCCCCTCGAGCTGAGAGAGCTCTGTATGCCCTGATCTGATCTGATCAGCTGTCCTCGGAGGCCTCAGATGGAGACGGATGACGGACGGACGTCCCTCGTGTTCCTCACCCACCCACCTGAGGCAACCGGAGGACCTCCTCCCAACTTCAAGTCGGTCTCGTGTGTCTTTCTGTGTGTGTGTATGTATGTGTGTGTTTTAATGATCTTCGGAGCCGCGATGAGGGAGATGCCGATGGTGGTGCACCTTGGGCGAATACCTTCCTTTACCGAATCGAGTTGTCCGCAGTCCACCACCCCCACCACCCCCTGACATGTCATCAGAATTCTCCATTGAAGCTGTGGACGGACGGACGGACGGACAGACGGACGTAGTGGCCCCGTAGTGTGGGGTTCATCAACCAAGTAGTAGATGTTGTCTACAGGATAGGCGTCAAGAGGAGAGCAGAGAGTGGCATGCAAAGGGCGGCTAGCTGGTGGTGGTGGTGGTGGGCGACTGGAACTGACTACACAGACAGCGAGGGGCATGCGATAGAACCGGAAACCTGTTTACCTGTTCTAAGCTGTAGCGGACAAAGCGGAGGGGACTATGCAACCACCGATGCGATGGCACGCACACCGGGTAGTGTCCCCGCCCCGCCCCGGGGCGTAACGAACCCTCTTCTGCAAGCAGGCGGTTGACTGACCGTAGTGCAGCCCGCTTATATGCGTGTATGTATGTATGTATGTATGTATGTATGTATGTATGTATGTATGTATTCCTGTGTGTGTTACACCTGTCGGTCGGTCGGTCGGTTCCACCCCCCAGCCGCATGAGCGTTTGAAGTCCCGTCCACTGATTGGTCTTCCCTCTCCCCTCCCCTCCCCTGTACACCCCCGCCCCCCCCTGCCCGCCCAGGGCCGGTCACTGGAAGCCACGACGCCGTTTCGCGCGGCGGGGCTCATTTCCGGAGCAGCCGTAGAGGCGGAGGAGCAGCAGCAGGGCGGGGCCGGCAGTAGCGGCAGTAGCGGCGACCGCCAGCAGCAGGAGCAGGAGCAGCGGCGATCCGTAAAGGGGACCTCAGCCGGAGAGGTTGTCTTGATCAAGGTGGTGCGAGGGGGGGGTGGGGGGGGGTACGACGAAGCACACAAGGGGGCCCGAGGGGGGGGCCGAGGGGTGCACCCCCTCACACACTCTCCGCGGGGGAAGTTTCGGAGATGTGCTGGGAGGGAGGAGGTGAGGAGGTGTGCTCCTCTGGCTCTCTGGTGGCAGTGTGCAAGGCCGGGGGGGGGGGGAAGAGGGGAGAGAGGGAGCTGAACTTCGGGTGAAATTCGCTTCAGGGTGGTGGCGGGGACTCTTGACGGCTGCGTGTTGGGTGTTGGGTTGGCGGATGCTGTAGGATGTTGGTGAAGTTGGTTGCTGCATTGAGCGGTTGTTTGGTTTGTTGTTGTCAGGTCAGAGTGTATCAGTGTTGCTGCTGTTATCCAGCGGTGTTGTGTCGCACACCGGGGCCACGTCACACCGGGGCCACGTCACACCGGGGCCACGTCACACCGGCGTCAGCGATGTCGCGTTCCTCCGGCCCCCCATCCGGACTGGGAGCTAGCTTCCCTCGCGGAGAGTGTGGGGGGGGGGGGGAAAGAGGGGAGGAAGGCTTTCAGCCCCGCGAGGGCGGCTTCACTCACCAAGCCCATCATATATCCCCACATATACACCAACAACACGGCCACCCGTCCCCGCAGCTTAGCTCAGCGGCGTTCCATTTCCTCTGCCTCCGTTCCACTTCGTTCCATTGCGTGTTTCCTCCCGTTACCTGAACCCCCAAACCCCTTTCCCCCCCTTTGAAACCCCCAAACCCCTTTCCCCCCCTTTGAAACCCCCAAACCCCTTTCCCCCCCTT